CATCATGTTGGGTGCCTATACGTCTTATTGATCTTTTCTGTTGACCATGGAATTGAAAATTACCCTTCTTTTAGTAAGCTGGCTTTGTTTTAGTATTTTAGTGGTGTATTTCCAAAATATTTCAGACTAAATACATAGTCTACGTTAAATAACATTGGATCTTAAATTAAGATAACTAAAACAAATCAAATTAAGCGAAGTTCTTAAATGCACATTTTCTCATACATCATCTAAATATTATACCTAACAGTGGTACATATTTGAAGCTGGGAATTAGAATGAAAAAGCTTGTTTGCTTTCAGAGAAAAGACAAGGCAGATTCATTGAAAACCAAGTGGAATTTTTTAAATGAATTCACAGCTCTGGCTCAGTTGCACACCGTAGGTGTGAATGTCACAGTAAGACTTACTCAAATCAAGGATGGTGATGCTCTAGCCCCATGGTTGGAGGGAAGCACTCAGGCATGCTCCTGTTTCCTATGCTTCAAATGCATGTGTGCTGTGCTTCCCGTGTTCTCCTGCCACCTCCTGCCACAGATGTTGCTGGAATTCAGGAAAATGCCTGAAGTCAAGCTGATCTTTATCAATAAGTCCAGCTAATCTCCAGTCTCTAGAATAGTAGGTGTCCAGGGACAGGTAGAGATACCATCTGAAAATGTCAGTCACAAAAATGTCAACCCTCAAAATAAGCCTTGACAAGTCATCTCATGCCACTGAAGCTTCCAAGATGCTCTGGCCTAGGTGATACAGTGATTTCTTCCCTTATTGGGCTTGAGCTCACTGAAGTTTGGTCATTCAGGATTTGGTTACTGACTTTTAATTAAGTACATCTGGCCTGGATGTTGCTGCTGACTGTGGTTTATATCTCCTATCGTTCTTTAGCCTGAACATTTTCTTTCTCTGAAGAAATAGCTCTTTTGAGATAAATGTTTCCAATTTGGGGGAGATTGCTGGAGTGACATTTGTTCTGGGTACAAGATAGTTCATCAAAGTGGCTCTGACACAGCCTGACTGATGAAGCAGGTGCTGATGGATGTGTTGTCTAGATGGTAGAAAAAATGTGTAGTAATGGGAAAGATGATGCGTTTATGATGCTAAGCAGAACAAAGTCAGGTGTCTTTACCAGTGAAAAAGGGAATTTCCAAATAACAGTACAACAAATGCACATATTTTCCTATATGAAGCTTTTTCACAGTCATAAATCCTCGTATCCTGTTACCGCTGAGATACAGACACAGTGATGTGGCCATAGGACCGGCACTGCATCCTTATTTTATTAGCATTGGTCTTTACAGTTCCCCAAAGACATGTGCACTTGTATTTCCACCCTGCCCTGGGAGAATCATAAGCATGGAGAAGCTGCACTGTACTTAAAGTGGGGGAGTTTCAGCAATTACCATTTCCTGAACAACATAAACTTCTATTCACTTATATTGTTTTCCTTCTATTATTTAACTATTTTGGCTGGGGCTATCTGATTGATAATATTGGTTAATATTAGGTATTAGTTTTCCATCTTCTTTGTTCTATGTGTACATTTTACGAATGAAACTGAATCCTCTGTTACAGTTTCCAAACTCAGACAAGCCCTTTGTGTATTTATTTGCTATTACTACAATGAGGCTGTGTAAAAAGTCATCCACATGTCCATAGACTATAATAAAAGCATTTATATCAATCACTTGTGGGTGTGCAAAGTGGACTGCCTCCATTCCAGGATACAGGTTGGCTGCACTAGCTGGAGAGTTCTGACTGGGTTCACGCCTACTCTACATGAATCCACTTCCTTTTTGAACCAGCAGTTTACTGGGGGTATGCACCCTTAGCTTGTAGGAGCACAAAAGGTCTAGCCAAAAGACATAGTGCAGTTGAGGGCTCTGACTGCCTCATGATCGCTAATACTCAGTGCCTGACGGAAGTCAAGTAGCCAATTCTAAACTTCAGGGGACAGAAAAATGTGCTTTAATCCATATTTCTCTCTCTCTCTCTCTCTCTCTCTCTCTCTCTCTCTCTCTCTCTCTCTCTCGGGCATGTCCATGTGTCTGGGAATATGTGGAGGCCAGAGGCCATTGTCAGGGTCTCCCTCAATCACTTGATTGAAAACACTGAAACCAGAGAATAACGAACAACCAGTTTCCTACCGAGCCTATGGCAGCATTTTAGAAGACTTGTTTTGAGATTTTTTGGAACAAGGGTGCATCTACTTCATGGCATTTCAACATTTTCATTTACTTGTGGTTTTATGTGTGGGAGTGATTTGCCTTTGTGTATATAAGCACACCACACGTGCAGTGTCTTGTCCCCAGAGGCCACAAAGAAGGCATCAGATCCCTAAACTGGAGTTATGGATAGTTGTTAGATGTCATGTAGGTGCTGGGCACTGAACCTGGGTCCTCTGCAAGAGCAGCAGTTGTTCTTAACTGCTGAGCCCCTTCTCCGGCTCAGTACGGCATTATTTTTATTGGTCTAGCACTGTTGTTACTGTATAGTAAATGTGCATAATAGCATCCACTGTAACCAAGTTTTTCATTCTTCCCTTGTTAGCTTGTTGGTAGTAATAAGTAGTGATAAAATCTATAGATTGAATTTTAAGTAAGCTGATATATGAATTTATATAATTTGAAGCTGATATATTGTGTATTGTGTATCAAGTTCCAACTCTCCATGGCCTCTTGCCAGCCCAGGTTATACTGTAGCAATCTCTCTTAGCTGGCATCCCTTCCTCTAGTCCCCTCCTCTCACGAATAAGATGCTGCTAGCAGGTACTTAGATCAAATGATTCTATTACTTCTCTGATCAAAAAGCCTTTCAAGCTGGTCCCCACATCCACAATATAAAGTCAGAAGGCTCTGCTGTGATAGGGTGTTAGAGGCCTCTACAGAGCACCCTGTCTTCATGTCCTCATCTTGAGCCTCATTATGACCCTTTGCCTCATGGTTTCACAACAGAATCATGCCTTCCTACACATGTAATGTTAATTATTGTCCATATAAATTTGGATTATGAGGTTCTTTCAGCCTAGAATTGCCAATCCCAATCCTGTTTCTACATGTTCTTATTCTATACATCCTTCAAGTCTTGAATTGAATGTCACATTGGAACATTCTGGATCCTCATTAGCAACTCATCTCCTCTTATAAAACCAAGACTTCTTCCTTAAGTAACAGCTCGTGATGAAATAAAAGCTGTTCAAACTCCAGTTCTTTGTGGAATTTGCAGGCACAGCTCATGAGTGGAAACATCAGCAGCATGCAGTGCAGCACTGTGTAGTGCTTAGGTTTCAGATTTATTTTGTCCCAGATACTAGATGTGGCTACATCAAGCATGGTGACTTTGGAAGCATTTCAACTCCGGGGAATGTCTGTCCAAATATTGTATAGTTTTACCTGACATAGACGATGTGGAGAGCGCAGTCTCGTCTACTAAGGAATGCACGTGTGCTGGAAGCAGCTCTGCTAACTGTGTCCATTGGATTTCGGTTGGAGTCCAGAACTGCCAGCGTTTCCCTTTCTTGCCAAGATTCAAGACCATCTTGGTGCCCCCAAATATGGAAAATAATCTGTGCTAGATAGCTTTAGTTGTAACTTGACAAACCTGGGTAGAAGGAGCCTGAGTTGGGGAATTTCCTCCGTTGGACTGGCCTGTGGCCATGTCTGTGGGGCATTTTCTTGATTTTTTTAATGATGTGGGAGGGTCCAGCCCACTGTGTGTTGGGTGGTGCTACCCCTGGGCAGGTTGTTCTGTACTGTATAAGAAAGCAGGCTGAGCAGGGGCCAGGGGAGCAAGCCAGTAAGCAGGTTCCTCCATTACCTGGGCTTCAGCTCCTGCCTCCAGGTTCCTGCTCTGAGTTCCTCCCTTGGGCTCCCTGAGGAACTGTGACCTGGGAGATGTAAGAAAATAAACCCTTTCCTCCTCACGTTGGTATTGGTCAGGGTGTTTTGTCACCGCAATGGAGAGACAAACTGGAGCATAATCCTTTCACTGTTAGTAGATAATAATTGGAATGAGAGAAATGGAAGGCCAGTGGTGATGGAATTTAACTGTATTTGTGTGGGACATAAGTTCTATGAACATTACTTTATATACTAATTTCATCTCTATTCTTCCTGAGACTTTTTTGAGCTTAATTCCTTCTCACTCTTTCTTTGGAGCTTGTCAGTAGGCTTCTCCTTGTCTCATCCTCTTCTGTTATTTCTGATGTGCCTGCTCAGGCTGTGGAGTGGACCAGCACTAAATCCAGAGAGTTTTGTTTCTAACTTTTCCCAGTCGACCATGTAATCCCACTTGAGTATTCTTTGTCTCCCTTCTGTGATTCTGTTCCACATCACAAAATGTTTCATTTTAAGATAAATAATTTATCTCTAATAAAGTTTTCTTCTTCAGCTCTGTCTTGCCTTGATTTTGTAAAAAAAAAAAAATACAGAGAATGTCGTTTAATGTAAACTAGACTCTAGAACTAAATGCCTCACAGTCTCTTTCTATCAAATGATTTAAATAAAAATTGGTTGGGAGTCAATTTTCTTGGGGTATTGGGTAAATCTTCATAAATTCAATTTTCACTTTTGGCAGTGTTCATAAAAGTGGAACCTAAAAGCAAGACATGTTCATATTTTCTACCAGCTTTATTATGCAGAATACTCAATTTTGTACAAAATTGGATTTTCCAATGTTGGGAAAAGCTTGAATAAATCACAGGAGTAGTTCCAAAGACACACACGGAACCAAATGTGGTTACTCACTCCATCAGGCATCTGTGGGTGATGATAAGGAGGAGACTCAGCATGGGTAGTGGGAGTAGAGAAGAGAGTAAGTAAAGAAAGAGCCAAGAAAAGCTGAGGAAACACAAATGTGTGCCTGCCACAGTCTGGGAAGCCTTCAATAATGTTCATGAATATGCGGCGGGAGATGGAAACTTTGTCCTTTTCAAAAAATAAAAAACCTTCCACATGAAAGTTAAGATTGGTTGTCTGCATAGTGATGTATCTTTTTTTTTTTTAACAGGGGTGCAGCATGGATGTGGTGGTTACTTGACAGATCCTGGCAGTAGCTTTGTCTCTCCCGACATTGATTCAAATAGACACTATGACAAAGGTTTAAACTGCATATGGTACATAACTGCACCAGAAAACAAACTCATTCAGCTCACTTTCAACAAGTTTGTTCTGGAGTTACCAGCGTCACCGGGGAGATGCAATTATGATTATGTACAGGTGAGCCTACTATGTTATAACCGTCTACTAATCCCAAACTCTAATATAGCATGTTCCAGTTTACCACATAGAAGTCTTGAAAATTGTGAGTAATGCTGTTTCTTACAATGACTTGTTCTTCAGAGACACAGCATATTATATTATAGGTGCTATATTCTCTGATCAAATGAACCTTTAATATGCATGACTCAAGCATTTCATATGACACCTAGCATTAGCTTTAAGATTCAGCTCTGTTTTCCTTAGTGATGTATGGGGAGATTGGGTGTATTGAGTGACATACTCAAAGGACTTTTAACAATTGCTAAAATAAATAGGAACATCTTCAGTGTGAAGAAATACCTTCTAAGCTGTCTGTTTCTTATATTTATGGGTCTACTTGCTATATTAACTTTAGATATAGGAAATATCTTAGTTTCTTTAAGTCCAATTAAAAGTAAAACAAGACAGACCCACACTCAGAACCAGTTAATGTGCTGAACTGTATACCTTGAGTAAGTACTGGTTATTTTTAGTACTTTGATTTTTCATATTAATTTTCACAATTTATTAAATTCAACAAATTTTCTAAGCATGGAAACAAGAAACTTTTCAACTTGATAAAAGGAGTCTCTAATGCTAAACTATTATATGAATTTATATAAAAAATTCTGAGTAGTGTCAATCAGTACTTTTACTACTATATTCTCACAGGAAAGTAACAGGATGGCAAATTTTCTTTCCTTGGGGATCTTAAGTGTGATTAGAAAATTAAGGGCAGGCAGTCAAACATGCACCATGAACTATTCAAAAAAATGATAAGTATTTCAGTGTTAACTAATATGTTAGATACAGATTTGAAGCAATGTATAAATTTAAAAAGAAAGAAATAATTGGGGTTATATCTCAATGGTAGAATACTTTCCTAGAATATGCAAGACTCAAGGTTCAATTTCCAGCCTGGGAGAGTGAGAGAGCGAGGGAGAGAGTGAGAAACAGAGAGTGAGAGAGACAGAAAGATAGAAACAGAGACATATAGACAGAGAGACAAGAAGAGAGAGAGAGAGAAAGAAGAGAGAGAGGATAAAAGAATTCTAGGAAAGGTGAGTCTCAAAGAAGAGCAAAGGCATTAAGATGTGTGTAGTTTTGAGAAGACTAGTCCACGGGGGAAGAATTTCACTGAAGGACAGCAAGAAACAACTAAATTTGCCTAAGTAGAGAAAAGATACAAAGATCATGAAAGCCAAACTAAGCAGTTCGGGTTTTATGGAGCTGAAAGTGAGTGCTTCAGGTTTTCCAGACGCCAGCATATGATGAGAACAGTACTTAAAGATTACCCTGACCATAGCACGCAGGCTAGGCTGGAAGGAAGGGAAAGGCCTGGGAGGAGTCCTGGGAAAAAAGGACCTGGGACTGCACGGCAGCATGAGTATTAAATGTTTAAGATCTAAGATTATCTCAAATTTTATAGAAATTGTTTTTAAATGAAAGGGAAGTAGTCGTCATGTATGGAATGCACATTTAAGCCCTTAATTATGTATGTACATTTTAATTTTTCCTGTAATATGTATCATTTCTGTGACACAGTGTGAGTATTAGTAGGAGATCATGGTTTTGGTGATTAAAAAAATAGACAACTGGGATTGAAGAGGGCGGAGCATGGGCCAGAGCTCTCAGAAGACAGCGCCATAAATAAGGAGATGACATCCAAAACTCGCTTGAGTCCACAGAGGCTTGTTTCCTTGGACAGTGTGGAACTAGACAGCAGCACTCCCATTCACCTCCAGGAAATGTACCTCGAGATGCAGTGGGAAAGGATGAGGGATGAAGGGCAAGAAACAAGAGCGAGAAAAGCATGTGACATGGTGGGCGCCACCGCATGAAGGGGTCGGCGCCTTTTCAAATGATGGGTGATTAGTGCTATTAAATTGCATACCACAGGCCAGGAAAAGTTGAGATGAAGAACAAACTGATTCCCTTGGATGACAGGCATTTTAATAAAACATTTGGATAGAAGCCAAGTCTGAGGGAATTCATGAAAGACTAGAGATAACAAGGATTGCCAGTTCAAGTTGAATTCTTTTCTAAAGCAAGACCAAATGGCCAGAACAGCCTAAGCTGATATTTAAAACTTTAACAGCTCCCCTAGTTTTACTGAAAGGTAATACAATTTAAAAATAACATGGGGACTCAAACCCATTTCTGTTACCAGAGTAAATTCCTAATTAACCTGATTCCTTATTACTTTATATAATTAAAAATAAACATACAACAGTATCTAGCTCAAAAGGCTGTTCAGGGACTAAAAATAATGCAGATTAGGGTATTAAGCATGTGGGTGGCAGAATACATTAACAAATTCACTTTAATTTTCCTGCTTTGATTAATTTCAAATAGACCTGGAGATTGTTGAATATCTTTAAAATATTAACAACAAGGGCAGATGAAATGGCTCAGCAGGTAAAAGCGCTTGCCATACAAGCCTGATGATCTGAGATTTATCCCTGGTTACACAGTAGAAAGTTGTCATGTAAGAGCTTGTGTTGTATAAAATTGTGTGAACTTCCTAAAGTCAATTTAGGCAGAAACATCAGTGTCAAAAGCAAGGAATTGTTTGCTAGCTTCAAAATAAAAGCTTTTTAAAAAATTTACAAAGGGGTTGGAGAGATGGCTCAGCATTAAGAGCATTGACTGGTCTTGCAGAGGACCTGGGTTAGGTTCCCAGCAACCACATGGCAGTTAACAACTGTCCATAACTGTAGTTCCAGGAGATCCAGTGCCCTCTTCTGACCTCCATTAGCATTGCATGACACGGGTGCACTTACATACATGCAGGCAATACATTCATACACATACAAAAAAACTTAGGAAATGCTGTTCACACCTTGTCTTATTTCTCCTCTTGGGAAAGCGGTTTCTTCCACTGGTAGCTTTCCCAGATGCTGGTAACTGACAGACCAAAGAATAGCCCTGGAGTGTGAAACTTTGAGGTGTCTTCATAAGAGAGAGGGGTTCTCTGTGATACATGGGGCATTTGATCCTTGCATTATTTCTTTTCTTGTTTCTATGATAAGGAGCAATTTAAAGAAGCAGTCCATTCTCACAGTCTGAGGACGCAGTCCTTCACGGCAGGAGGAGTGTGAGGCAGCTGCTCACAGTGCGTCCACAGTCAGGAAACAGAGCAATGGATGCTGGTGCTCAGCTTGCTTTCTCCTTTTTATTCAGTCCTGGCCCCCAGCTCAGGGGGTGTTGCCACCCACATTTAGGGTAGATTTTTTCTAACTCAATTCAGTCTAAAAAGTTCCTCACAGACAGGCCCAGAGGTCTAGATAGACCTACATGAGTCTATCCTGTCAAGTTGACAATACTATCTATCACCTTTGGGGGTGTAAGGCAGATCATACCTATTCTTCAATTATTCACCATTTGATCACTGCTGTTTTTGAAGTACTGACTAAGAGAATAAGGAGGATAGCCACACTACATCATGAACTGTGTATCCCACTGAGTGATCGCTACTGAAGTGGGTTCACGTCCCTCCCACACGGTTGTCTGGCAGCCATGGCTCCCAGCACTGGGGATGCAGATTTAAAGACACAACCTACTCAAGCAGTGAAAGCTCATCAAGGAGGTGACAGTCACTGATCTTCAAACAGACACATCATTACACAACGTGGCAAAAATGGTAGATATGATTGCCATAGAGAGGAGAACAGATGAGGGTATGTATGTCTTTATTTGGTGTTCAGGAAAGGTTTCTTAGATGTGATGGTTTCATGGCACTTAATATACATGGAAACTCTCACACATTGTTGCCTCCTGTACAACTGAGAGGACTGTTGAAAGGAGGCTGGCTACCTCTCCAGAGTTAGGAGGAAAAGAGGGCTTGTGTACTGCCTAATCCCATGCCAAGCTTTGTTGTACAGCACTCCGTGAGGTGAGCAGCAGTGAGGTGGTTGAAAGGCATCAGAAGTGTGGTCTTCACTGACTCCCTGGAAACATGCAACTCGTTTCATGGAGGTGGTGGCCCCCCATTGTTTCCCAGGTTTTCCTCAACACCATCAGTGTTCTTGGGCATAGCGAGTAGGTTCTAACATTTCCTTTCCCATCCGAAGTGAAAGCTGTTGTCCATAGTAACTGTCCTGTGGGATTCAGCAATGTGGCTTCTAAACACTGAATGCCAGTTAGGGTCCCAAATTACTGTTATAATGCCAGTGACAGACCCCCAAACACCACACTTGTGCAGAGATACTGCCTAAGGACTGGAACAATCTTGCTGGGAGCCTCTGTCTTAACTCACTGAGCTTAAGCATTCATCGTGCAGTCAGCCACTGGGAGGAGGGGCTGTGCATCTTTGGGGAAAGGATTAGTCAGTGGTCCCCACAGGCTTTTCCTATTGGGAGATAGCACCACTGCCCTGCATCTCCGAACTTAGTTATTCATTAAGTAAGTGTGAATTCAGTCAGCTTTGTTACATTATTATTCCAAATACTGGAAAAAGACATAAATAATAGCAATAATAATTAACTAGTAATAGTAATAATTAATTAATTAATAACTATTTGGGGGGGACTTTCATGTCCCCCCAAAGCCCAGGGGTCAGGTAAGACATGGTTGTTAGCATGCAGCACTTTTAAGAGGTTGTGGAAACATTTGAGGTGAGGACTAGTTAGAAAGTTAGGGACATGGAGGGCATACCCTTGAGGGGAACACTGGGACACTAGCCCTTTCTGTCTGGTGGCTTCCTGACTTCTATGAGGTGAGCAGCCTCTTCCACCATACAAGCTTCTGTCATGATATTGCATCTCGCCGCAGGCCCAGAAAACAGCTGTGTGACTGCATAGCTACACAAACTAGTAGACCGAAGCCTCTGAAGCCAGGAGCCAAAGTAAACCTTTCTTCTTTTAAGTTGATTAAGTTGATTTTGTCACTTTAACAGAAAACTTACTAGCACAAATACTCTGAAAATAACTAGATTCAATGAGCTGGTTCTGCCCTCTGCTTGTTTGTGGCTTTTCCCGATACTGCTGGGAATAGCATAAGTCTCATCCCAGAATGTTGTGAAATGGACCGGAGTTCAGCTCCATACCTGAAAATTCACATGTACCATTTCCCATACCAAATACTGCCCTGGCATGCCCTGAAGATCCTTTCAGAGATCTTCAGTATCATCAAAGAATTCATGAAGATTCTCTAAGATGCAACTTAGAAATGTTAAGAATATAAAAGTCCTTCCATTATTAAATTTCCTGAGAAACAATAAACAAAGAAACCCTGAAGAAATTTTTTTTTCGGAGTTAATGTTAATTTTGAAAAGTATTAAATTCCAACTTCAAAGTCTGTTGCTCTTGTGCATTGTTCATAGAAACCGGAATCTTAAACTTTCCTTCTCATTTCTTCAATGGCTCAAATTGTTATTTGGGTGAAGGATAAGACGTAGCAATAGTTGCAGTTGGAGGTTTCTTCCACTACGTTATTTGCCTAAATCCTCAATGTCTAAATTATAATACTGTTAAAGAGTTAAAACTTAAGAAAACAAAATTCTTCACAGCATTTTCCTTAATCTATGAGAAGCAGAATGTAGTTCAAGCTGCACGTGCACAGCAGCTATGCCAGGAAACAAAGGGTCCCAGAGGGCAAGGTGTAGTTGTGTGGTCGTTCAGGGCATCATGCATAGCCTACAGTGTTCTGCAGGGCACTCCCTGCTCCATACAGAACAGCTTCGAAAACTCACCATGGAGATTTGCTGTTGCCAGAGCAACATGGCAAGAATTTCAGGTTTGATCATCCAGGAGCCTAGAGGCCTCTCAACTGAACAGAGATACCAGCTATCTACTTTAAATCAGTTAGAGAAATCTTACTGTGGCCATGTTCCAATGAATGTGGGGCCAGTGTGGGGCCAGACTCGGCTGTAATTCCCTTCTCTCCAGTCCTGGCCTCTCCCTTCCACCACCCTTCATAGTTACCAGTGTATTTAAAATTAAAACCCAAGTGAGTGAGACCCGAGCTCATGGAACTTCACAGCCCCACTTCTCTGCTCTCTCCTGAATCTTCAGTCCCATCGGGTGCACACCTTGCATGCCCATCCTTCTGTGGCCTTCCGCCCGCTCCATCTGGCTGGGATGTTCTTTTCACTTTTGTAGGTCTTGGAAGCTGCTATTTACTTTCAAGCACCAATTCAAATGTCTGTGAAGGTTTTCCTGCTGCTGTCACCCCTATTCTTTTATTGTACTTACTTTCTCCTATTTTATTTGACTTCTTTACTTCTTTCCTTGGTTCTTTATATCTACATTTTCCTATATATATATATGAAGAGATGCAAAGATAGATACATATACACATAAATACATATGTGTATGTAATCTATGGTCTTTTCCTCTAATGGTCCATGAGCATCTTGAAGGTACAAAACGTTATTTATGCTTCTCTATACGCATAGAATCTGACACAGGGCTCAGGCACATAATACCCAGAGCAAAAAAGCTTGCTAAGAGTGACTATGATCATAAACACAGTAATGATAATAATGAAACTTTAACTTGTTTATTTTTTGTTGAAATTTTGCATATCACATACACAAAATCTTAATCACCTTCATACCCCCTTCCCCATCAGCCCCCTCCCAAAGTCCTCCCCCGACACCACCACTGGATTTCATGCATTCTGTCATTTATGTTGAGGAGTCAAGTCAGTATCCCCTGATGTCCTTCAGTACATGTTCATCCGCAGGGGTCTAGTCAGCCTACCTAGAATCACTCCCTTAAAGAAGATCAGCTCTTCCTCACCTGGTGGTAATCAACTGCCCAATAGTAGTTGCGCAAAGACTGGGGCCAACTGCTCATTCCACAGGTATATGCTGTATTTCTGTCTGCTTGTGTTTGCATGGATCTCGTACATGCTGTCACCATTGCCGTAAGTTCATATGCCCAAGGTTCCAGTAGCCTGCAAGACTCTGTTTCTTATCAGAAAAAGTATACCACCTCTCAAACTTGGCAAAGGTGGTCTATAAATTCGAGGGGTTTAGGTTGCAGAACCTCGGTCCTCTGGCTCTGCGGGAACCGAAATTACATTCATCTAGGAGACAGTGCCATCTAGTGGTAAATTTATTAAACTTTTTTTTAACTTACAAAAACTTTATTGAGAATTTCATACACGCATGTAAGGTGTTTTTATCAAATCCATGCTCACTCCCTCCCCTCCAACTCCTCCCATATCTCCCCATCACTTTTTTCTTTTTTTCTTTCATTTATTTATTTTTATGGGGCTTTCGGCTACTCTAACATTTCCCCCTCTGAAGAGGTAACCCTAAAATCTTTAAAGGATTAGATAACAGCTCCCAAATACTTTTGACATTTTGGGCCTTTGGAAGAGAGTATGTTGCTGATAGTCCCAAGGAAATTTTGACTTTTAGCTACCTTTCTTTGGAGTTTTTTACCCTAACTGCCTAGCAAATTCCTACCTCCTATTCTTATCATGCCATCCTCTGAAGGGGTTACCCAAATTGCCAATAGGGAACCGGGATGCAGACCACTCTGTGAGTTGTGAGTAGGAGATGTGAAGGAGAAGTAAAGGCAAGAGAAATTAGCATTCCAAGTTCTCTAGCTGGGGAACTAGAAAAAAGAACAGGGCAATTTTCAGATGTTCATATGAGTCCATTGGAATTTCTTGACAAGGGCTTCCAAAAGCATCCCTCTGTTGGGTTCCTCCTCATTTTTCTTTTGTCTTCCAAGGCTGGATTCTAGAGTGATGGAGTCAGGATTTGCTTTCAGGTATTTTGATAGCTGTTGGAGTGGGTAGAATCTTGAAATTCACCACTTTTATTTCATACACTACCATGAATATCCCCATGTCTCTCCATCTGTGGGCCTTACATTCTTGCTGAGAGGGAGCCCGGAAAAAGCAAATAGGCAGTAAATAGGATACATTTTTATAACAATCAAACAAAACATAATATTGGAAGAGGGCAACAGTGAGTAGGGTCAACCTCTCTAAGGAGGTGACATTTGAGTTGAGGTTTAATGACAAGGAGTTAACAGCCTTTTGGGAGTTCAAGAAATACTGTTGCTCCAAGCAAGGAGACTGTAGGGAGGTATTCTCCCAGCAGAGGATGCAGGAGGCAGTGATGGGAAGGATGCGAGGGGAGGTGCAGGCCCCTTCCCATTGCCTTGCAGCCTGTGATAATGAGTGAGGATTCTACATTGGGTGCAGGGTGAGTGCAATGGATCTTTGTAGGAAGAGCAGGAGCATGATCTAGGTTGACAGGTACTCAGGCAGCATGGTGAATTCCCTGGATACGGTGGAACTGATCTGTTAACATGATATTATGGCGGCAAACGTGAAAGGGGATGATGATAAAAGTGTTAAGAAACATTTGGAAGGTGGAATGGAGAGGGTGTGGGGGTAACAGGAGTGGGGAGGAGTTGTGTAGAACTGAAGTCTTAGGCTTGAGTCATTTATTGAGATAAAGAATTTGGGGAAAACAGCTTAGGGAAGGGTGGTGCTGTGGTGCGACTGTGTCCCTCAAGTTTATGTGCTAGAACTCTATATGCTGATAGTATTTGGACATGGAGCCTTTAGATGAAGTCATGAGAGTTGGGTTTCTAGGATGGGATCAATGACCTTCCAAAAGAGGAAGAGATGCAAGAGCTGGCCCACTTCTGCTGTGTCCTCACATGACACTTCTCGCCGAGTCAGAAGGCAGCAGGACAGGCCTCATCAGAGGCAGCCTTTTAACTTTAAAAACTTCTCAGCCTCCAGAACTATCAGAAATCAAATTCTTTTGTTTATACATGGCTCTATCTGTAGTATCCTGATACAGTAGCACAAAACAAACTCAGGCAGATGAGTACTGGGGGAGAAGAATCACAACACTTGGTACTGATGGGACATCTTTATGCATTGAGCACAATGGACAGAATTCTATGCTTCCCTATTTAGAAGGGAAGACAATAAAAGAAACATGTTCAATTATGTTTATAATACTTGCCCTGAAGAAAAACCAGGCAGGCAGAAGACAAAGAAAGGCCTACCTAAAGGAAGGCCTTCATAAGTGGGTTGGGTCTGCCTCAGGACCTGGAGGAATGTCAGAGAACAGACGACATGGGTGCAGGGAAGAAGGATTCAGACAAAGGAAGGGCAGGTATGTCAGCAGGTGCATCTGCTCTGAAACAAGAAAGTGCTCAAGGATCTCAGTGAACAAGCAGAGACAGCAGGAAATGAGACCAAGGAGGCGAGAGGTGCGGGGAGAGCAGGCTCCTTTTGTCCTTGAAGGCTGTTACCGTGGCCTTGGCCTTTGTACTGAGAGAATGCGAATCGCCCCTGGGTGATGTCTTGAGAATAGAATAAGGAAGAGGGACAAGAGCTTGGCCAGAAAACTCCAGGAAAAACCCTTGGTGAAGATTCAAGCAGAGGAGGTAACCAGCAGGCTTTGATGACTCTAGGGACTTATTTTTTGAGGTCATATATTTCTTTCCCAAAGAGAAAAATCTGTATTGGGTATCATATTAGATGTTTACTTAAAGCCTTTATGATACTGCCAAATCTAAATTCAGACCGTCTACAAGAACCCAGTATAAGGATCCTTAATAATGGCCAATGGTGACTTCACAGCCAATTTAGTGTAAAATATGTAGTTCTTCTCTTAATAAGGAACTACTGTGATCTGTCTTTTTTCTAGATATTCGATGGTGGGAGCATAAGGTCAAATTTAGGTGGAAGGTTTTGTGGTTCCATTGTACCAGCTCCTTTCATCTCTTCTGGAAACTTCCTCACTGTTCAATTTGTCACTGACTTGACTTTTGAAAGAGAAGGATTTAATGCAACATATACCTTCGTGGACAGTGAGTAGACGGAGATTTTGATATATTATGAAATACACACATACTTACACACTGAAAAGAACGCATGCTTATTGTATCTAAATACGATATTAATTACTATTTCCGTGAACTATTTTAGATGGCTAAACGTGTTATGTGGGCTACATTTGCTGCCCTCATTTTACTTCTTGAGACAAAGTCTCAGTAAGCTGTCAGGGCTGGCCTTGAACTTGTGATCATGCTCCCTCTGCCTTCTGAGCTGGGATTATAGGACTGCAGAACATACTGTCAGTCCTAAAAGAATGTAAACCTATCTCCTGTGGGTTAGTATAGAGAAGGCAGACTTTCAAAGCTTGCCTGTGTGATCAGACATGAGTGAAACATCTCCACTGTTTCTTTCTCCCTCCTCAGTGCCTTGTGGTGGAACGTACAATGCAACGTGGACCCCACAAAACACTTCATCACCTCATTTATCAAACACCAGGCGTCCATCTTCCACCTGTACTTGGGTCATTGAAGCTCCTCCACACCAGCAGGTCAAGATAACTGTGTGGAAATTACAGTTGCACTCGCAGGACTGCTCACAGAACTACCTAGAGCTTCAGGATTTGTCACAGGTAAAGATCACAGGCGGCGGGAGTCGTTTCTAGTGACCTCACTAGCAGTCTGCAAACGCTGGAAGAAATGAAGCCACGAGTCAACAAATTCTGTTACCTAGAACTGTATTTTCAGCAGGAGGCAACAACGTCCTTACTTTCATACTGAGCAGGTTTTGAAGGAGAGAAACTTTCAAACATTCATGTGTCCAAGAATCCTCTGGGTGTCTTGTTAAAAATGCACACATTAATCTGAATTTTTGATGAGCATATCTTGTCTTTTGCCACCAATGCCAGAACTCCCTGGGCCACAGCTGGAGAACCACTTTGGCAGTTAGCAGGGTCTGTGCACAGGATGAATTAAAGGGACCAGAACACAGGAAGACCAGCTAAGCGGCCATCTGACCACACTTACGGTGGGACTCCACTTATGGCAATTTAAGAGAGTGAAATGGGGGCAAGAGAGTAAAATGGGGGCAAGCTCAATGAGATGAAAAGATAAATTCTAATTTCCCATGGTATAAGATGATGAGGAGACCGGTGGGTTAGGAAAATGTGATGGTAACAGAAAACTCGAAGATTTGAGCAGTAGCATCCTGTGGATGGGTAGGTAGAATACTAAGGAGACCTAGGAAAAATATTTCAATCTAGTACTCATAGACTGAGGAGTGGTACCCCGGAGACTGCCTGGGAGTGCTTGGGTTGTTTGTGTGCTTTGGGGAACACCCAACCTGTTCATTCTGAGGTCATGTTAAAATGCCAGCAGTAGCAGCGTCCTGCCTGTCACCTTCTGAGTTTTCAGGGTCTTCCTCATTATACATCTGGGCTTCCCTGGTTCTTACCTACCTCTATCTTGGTGGGGGAGACAAGAGTCTAGTTCGATTCCAGCATGGAGGGGTCTGAGATGTGAAAGCTGGGGAACAGCAGAGTGCTGTGTAGATCATGGTTACAAGGTTGTCTGTCCTTAGGCTCAGATGTGGCGGTTGAGATGTGAGATTAGCACCATTCCACTGATAGTGATTGCCAGGACAAATTCCAAGTCCCCATGATAGCTTCACCAGGAGGACTTAGAGCAAGTGGGACAAGAGCCTTTGGGTTGAAGCTCTTTCAATTGCTTTATGGAGCTGAGACAACAAGAATCAGAGTGGATTCTTCATCCGGGCACAAAATACCACGTACAAGGTACAGGCAGCTGTGGAACATGACATCAACTAGACTGGCCTTGAATAAAGCCCAGTATTTCTCATGACTGAACAATGTGCTTAAACTGAGTGAATAAAGAAAACAGAGGACAGGTAGGGAAGACAAATGTGATGGCTGGCTGGGAAAAGCTGGAGCTCTCACGTTACCCGAGGGTAGAAAGAGAAGCTAACCAGAAGATCATGAAAGGTTTATTTGGTGGAGGCATCAGAGATGGTGTTGGGTGGATAGCTGGCCTTGGGGGAAGGCAACTGCGCAAAGCGGGCATGAATATTGCTGGTGTTCAGAAGTTCAAAGTGAGGATGTTTAATGCATTGTCTGTAAAATACTCAAAACCTCTAAGAGTTCAAAAAAGATCTAGTGTACAGAAAATGACTGTGAGCTAAGACCCGCAGAGGACAGGTGCTATGAAGGGGAACAGGGGAGACTGTCCCACCGGTCTCCCACACGCTGACTCAGGAAGTGTAGAGAAAGTCTTCAGGAGGCGGCTGCTGAGCCTGGGATTCACTTAAGACCACAAAGTAGGAAGTCTTGGCATGTGGTTAGCAGTGCAGTTAAAGTTCAGAGGATACAGCAGATCAAGTTAGGAAATAATCAATACAGGAGATAGTGGGCTGGGGTTGGGCATAAGAGTGTGGATAAACTATAGCCCCTGTAAGCAGGGCGGGAGCACTGGCCATGTGGGTGTTATTAAAGCTACCTGAAGCACCAACTTGGGATAGCCGGTTTTGTTCAGAAATTGTTAAGCATTTGAGTGCATTTACCCTGTGCTTTTGGGAGGAAATACGTGCTGCCCAAGTGATACAGAAGGGAACAGAGACCTCTATGGGTAGTGGCTGCCTAGAGTAGGCAGGGAGAGGGCAGTTCGTAGTTGTACCACTGGCTCTGACTAGGGTTGCTAAGGTAGCAAGCACGAGAATACGGGAATGGCCTTGAGTTAATTTGTACAACTCAGCACTCTGGAAGGAGATGGAGAGAGAGACCCGTAAGGAGTTCACACAGCCTGGTTCTGCTCTAGACAAGCTCCTACACATGAGCTGTGACCAGCCATGAGAGGGAACAGCCTGATTTTCCCCAGGGAAGTGTCTGCTCACGACTTCAGCAGAAACTCTGTCCTTACCTCCCATCTGTCAAGGAAGATGGGTCAGTAGCAGATCCCAAGGCCAGTGCTCAGCCCCGCAGAACCAAGGTTTCCATGGTTGCAATCTGAAGCCTTACGTCATACGCAGTTTACTTCCTTCAATGGTGGTTCTCTTCTTATACCAAGTCCTGTGCGATTTGGCTTCTATTTCATTTCAGAGTAATGGCAACTCAGTGACTCAATTCTGTGGTGCAAACTTCACAACGTTACCAGCATTTTATTCTTCAAGGAGTACTGCAATCGTCATTTTCAAAGCTGAAGTGTTAAACACAGACTCTATAGTGAGTTTCACCTATCAGATTGCAGGTAAGCCTAGAATCTCATGTTTATCCAGAACTGCTACATCAGTTACTTTTTTCTAGAACTGACCCCTGTGAATAGGTCAGGTTTGATTAAGATAACACATACCCATCTCAGGTGAGACTCAGCTGAAACACATGCCTGCTGAAGCTGGTTCCTGAAGAGGCAAGACAAATATCAATATCATGCAAGAGAAACTTAATGCAGTTAATTTAATCCAGTTGCTTCATTAACATCAATTTGAACATGTATAGAAGTCACATTACACACTTTTATAAGAGCTTTGTTGAGATATCTTCCTGTGTCATACAATTTACTTACTTAAATTTTAAGGTCAGTGGGTTTTGGTACATCCACAGTTAAGAATGACTGTATGTTAGGAAATTGTTTCCTGAAAAACCAAGATTCCTTGAAGGAGTTACTTGGTCACAGTGACCTAGAAGTATATTTCCAAAGAGAAGTTTCTTAAAAAATATTTTATTTATCATTTTTAGTTTATGTGTATGAATGTTTTGCTTGCATGTATGTAAGTGCACCCGTGTCTTGCAGTGCCTGCAAAGGCCAGAAGAGGGTGTCAAAGCCTCTGAAACTGGAGGTACACGCAGTTGTTAGTTGCCATGTGGGCTCTGGGAACTGAACCTGGGACCTCTGGAAGAATAGCTAGGGGTCTTAAGCACTGAACCATCTCTACTGCCCGTCCAAAGAACAGTTTTACTACTAGAACTACTATTAGTGGATAAAAATAATTCACCAAAGGAAATCATCATGCAGACAGTATCAAGGAGGTAGAGCTTTGGGATCTAGAGAGGGTCTAAATGTCAGCCACTGGCACCTCCCCCATGTGATCAGAGGAGGTCAGAGGACGTCACAGTGTTCGTCCAGGGCAGCTCTCACACGCGGTGTTCTGCGTTAAGCCGCCGCACAGCACCTGCGCATGCGTCGGTTGTTAGCGCCTCTCGAAAGTAAGCCCAGAGGCTGGAATGGCTTTTTCCAAAGTTTGCTCAGATTCGATGGACTTTAAAAATTTCTTCCTTTCAAGTTGAAAGAAACCTAAACTGGGATGCACACACTAACTAGGAATATGATTTTATTTTAAGATTGCAACAGACAGTACAACCAAACATTTGGCACTGTGAAGAGTCCTGGATGGCCAGATAACTACAACGATAACCTCGACTGCATTATCGTTCTCAGAGCCCCGCAGAACCATACCATTTCCCTCTTTTTCCATTCTTTTGCTGTTGAAGCTTCAGGAGACTGTGCAAATGATTTCTTGGAGGTAATCTGCATTTGAGTATCATTTAAATGAATTATTAGAAAAGATGATAGATCACTAAGAGTTTTTGCCATGTTTTTCTGTTTTCTCTAGTGTGGCTAATATGTTCCTGTTCGTTTTATTAATTTATTCATTATTCTTTCATTTCATAAATGTTTACTGTCTCTAGGTCTGCACTGTTAGTAGAGTAAGGAAGAAAACATATTTGGGGCCCCCAGTCTAGTGAGGAAGACCAAATGCGTAGTCAGTTAGACATCACCTAGGGCAAACTGAGTCACCCACAGGGTGTGGGCCTCACCTGGGGGAGAATGGTGTCCCAACAGATGCTCGCTGCACATGGGTTCAGCTCCCACACGCTTCCTGATGCAGCACTTTATAATACAGGAAAGCCCCATATAAAATCAAACTAAATCCTTTGTTAATCAGTATCCTCAATACAAAGTGCATTGAATTCCCAGGGAAAGCTCATGCCTCCTCATGAGGAACTTGCCACGACAGAAAATGAGGAAGAGGTACAGGCAACAGGGAGGAATTGAAAAAAATGCTATGTTGTGTCAGTCTGAGAATCAAACTCCAACTTCTGAGTTTATCCATACTGGAAATCCAAATGTTTTTATGAAGTATTGAGCAGAAACTAAAAGACAGTGATATGGAGAAGGCATAGCCTCATTTTGCTAGACTTTTCCATGTGTCCTCTGAGTCACAGTCTTCATACACCCTAAGTCCAAGCTGCCCATTACTGGCCTGAGTTACCCTTGACCATTTGTTTGCTGGATGCTGGAAAGTGAAGGCTTGCTTACCAGCACTGGATGGTGAGAAAGGTGCCACTCAGTTGTCTTCTCCACTTCATAGAACGGATCAGAAACTTCCTGTCAAATCAGCAAAGAGAGGAAGCTGTGAGATACAGCAGAGTCCCTGTGCTCCAGAGCAGACTGTAGGCAGGAAGCCTCAGCATTCCAAACTCAGTTAACTATGATGGGAACAGAAATCTCCCATAAGGACTCCAAGTGCATTATTAGCAGAGAGGGCCGCCTCTTGACCACACGGTGAATCTGATGACTCTTCTTGGAGGGTCCTCTGATGTTCCAGACACACCTCTGCTCTCAGTGGTCTCATCCTCCCAAGAAGAGAAAAGTAAATATGACAGACTGTCAGCACAGTCTCTCCTCCCAGCAGTGGCAACTTTAAAATGGACCCCAAGGGAAAGAGACCCAAAGTCAAGAATGAGAGGGTGGCAGCTTGGGCCTTCCAGCATTCTTAAATATGACAGCCATGCCATCATCTACTGACAGTTCTGTCCAGGCCAGAGCCACTTGGTTTAAACGTTTAGCAACAATGAACACCAGAACCACATGGTCCTCTGTCACTCAGCACTGCTTAGATCTGGAAGGGGCCTCTGCAGCTCAGCACAGCCCAGCTAGTCAAACCCTGAACCTTTGCAGCAGCTGTGACTTGAGATAGGCAGTTTTTAAACTATAGGATTAAGTCAGTGAATGGAGGGGCTGCTCAGATTTTTAATAGGATAGATGAAACTAGCCCTTATCCATGGGGACCCTACTCATTGCTTATCACCCTTCCTTTAAAAAGCTCTGAGAACAGGCAGTAGGATGCAGGATGAGGACAGAACTTGAACTCACAGGTGCTTAGCCCCTTCCTCACACCAACCCATTTCCTGTTTTTATATGCTTCCTCCAGGCCTGAGTGGAAAAAAAAAAAACAACTCTCCAGCAGTCAGAAATGTTACAGGTGTACGGGATGTTCTTCTTCCCATACAGAAAATACTTTGGTTGTGAACTTTACTGGCTTCCTGTAGTATAGTTTCATGGCCAGCCACCTGGCACTTTTCAGTGGGAAGAACATACCCCTCCCTGCCCCCTGCATGACAATGGATAAAGTGTAATGTGGAACGAGAACAAACAATGATGCCTATCCCCCTTTAAAACGTCACTTTCTTTCCTTCAAAATATTTCTGGACATCACAAAGTTTGTGGGTCCACAGCACCCACTAGTCTATCCCAAGGCCTTGACTCTGTGGCTATGGTTAACAGGTATTTCTAAACCCAAATGCAAATGGTTTATGATGTACAGTTTGGATATTTCTCCCTTTACAAATGAGAGCAACTCCCCATGTGTTCTCAGAAGACTCTTCATTCTTAACTACATATGTCAGTAAGGAAGTTACAAAGCTTCATCCCAGCATTCTGATGCCTAACAGGAAGAATGGGAGTGTATGAGGGTGGTCTAGGCTACCTAAAGAGACCCTATCTCAAAAGACAAAAGAAACAACAAAAGAACCTCACTCACATCTTAAAAAAAGAACCTCACTCCCATCCCAGTGACAGACTGGAGGAGGAGTGAGGGTGTGATGATTAGTGACTTGTTCTCACAGGTAAGAAATGGTGGTGATAGCAGCTCGCCCTTGCTCGACAAATACTGTGGAACTCTTCTACCAAACCCTGTCTTCTCTCAAAGCAATGAGCTGTACCTGCGGTTTAAGAGCAACAGCGCTCTCTCCAATCATGGATACAAAATTATCTGGACCTCATCACCAACTGGTAAGATATTTGCACTTTGTAAGGGATGCCATGTAGGCACAGCAAACATAGTGTCCAGTAGGAAATATAGTTACAGATTAAAGTGACTTTATCATACTAAATCTGCACTAGGTGACTTTCTGTTGAAAATAGATTTCTAACAGTGAAAGTACTGATTTTTTTTTTAATTAGTAAGTTTTGTTCTTTCAAAATTTCATACAGGCACACTATTCTGGTTGCTTACCTTCCACCCATCCCCTCTCTATAAATGTTTCCCCCCCTGTTTACTAGTTTGGGTTTTCTTTAGAGTAAATTTTGAATGTAAAAGAATACATTTAAAGTCTAAAAATGTAAGCATTCCTGTATAATCATTACCTTGTAAGATGTTTGACATTTGGTGAGATCACCAAGGCAAGCTCTGAGAAGTCAATGGACCAGGAACACATCCGTGTATTCACAGGAGCGTCTGTGCTCTTTGAGGTCCTTGTCATTTTGTGGCGGTCTGCATTTCATTACTTTTTCAGGGTGTTTAGTATCTTCTTGAAGTTCTGGTTGCCTAGGTATTAAATAGCTGAAGGAAATTTAAGTCATTTCAACACATTCAGCTCAAGGGAGAAGAAATATCTTTATGAAATGTCCCCAAGTAACCTAAAACCTGAAAAATGAAAATGACCAAAAGGAATCTTTTAAATATACAAGGGATAAGAAGAGGACTCTATCCAGATAGTCACTGATAACAAAATCTCCACAGCTAAAGGAAGCTCATGGAGCATCTCCTCTAACTGGAGATATAATGAGGACACAATGCATGCCCTGAGAGCAAAGACTTGTAATGTCAGTGCTTGAGAGGCTGAGCAGATTGAAAATGAGTTCGAAGTCAGCCTGACTACATAGTGAGAACCTGTTTCAAAAAGGGGGGGGCAGCTGGAGAGATGGCTCAGTGGTTAACAGCACTGGCTGCTCTTGCAGAGGACCTAGGTTCAGTTCCCAACACCCGCATGGTGGCTAACAACCACCTCTAACTCCAGTTCCAGGGGCTCCATGACACCCTCTTCTGACTTCCACAGACATTGCATACATATGGTACATTTACATACATGCAGGCAAAACACTCATATACATAAAATAAAAATAAATTTTTAAAAAGGAAATGAAGAAAACAACAAAGATAATCAAGAGGAAATAAAACATCAAGACTGAGCTGCCCAAATTGTTCAGTTTGTCAAGGTCTTCTGGGCCCTTGGACAGCTGGTCTACCTAAATGATAGCTTTAGTGTACAACGAACAAGCAGAATAAGCTGACATGGGTATGTAAAGAGCTTTGATTTCAAGCATGTCAGCCTTGGAACTGTCAGCGTGGGGTCTGGTAAAGTCAGTTTTCTGGTAACTTGCCAAAAGCTGTAATACCACAGTCCCACCTAACAGAATTTGACTTGGGTTTGTCTTGAAACTACTGGTTATTGACATTAAATCTGCTTATGGAGCGTGCTTGACCTTCAGAGCATGCGCGCGCACACACACACACACACCCACCACTTTCCTCTCATCCGGGTACTTTAGGGCGCTGTTTAGCCATTCTGCTCCCAGCCTACGCTTAGCAAACAGCAGTCCTGGAAGCAGCTGCCTTTGGGTCAAAAGCCAGTGGGAAAGGAGTATGGGTGGGGACCTCCCAGCAGGTGGTGTCAACCGAGGGCAGGGGTGCAGCCGGAAGAAGTGCAGTTACTGCCTTGGCTGTTCGTGCAGATACTCAGCCCCACGAAGGTAAAAGCAGTCCCAGGCCTGTGCATGCAGGAAGTAGGCTGGGCGGTTCGACATTGCTGGATGGAACTTCAACCATTTCTTCCTTGCAGGCTGCGGAGGGACCCTTTTTGGTGACAGTGGCTTGTTCACCAGCCCTGGCTACCCTGACGCCTACCCAAACAACACTCAGTGTGAATGGACCATCGTTGCTCCTGCTGGAAGGCCTGTCACCGTCAGATTTTTCTTCATCTACATCGACGATCCAAGCAACTGTATCCATAACTATCTCATACTCTACAATGGGCCTGACGCCAACTCTCCACCCTTTGGACCATACTGTGGAGGAGTGAGTAAACCAAATATTTTTAGATTTCCCACATGTAATTTTTAAACAGTGATACGAAGAATATACTTTTAAAGGCAGGTATAAGCCAAAGCCTTTTGCAGAGTTGGTAGTTTTCTATTTGGGGAGTATGCGCGCCATCTGCTGGAGCTTGTGTTATATCACTGCTAACAGTTACCAGACTAGGCGGATAGGATTCAGCTTTGGGTTCATTCCACAACCAGTTATCAGAATGGCTGGGGGCATGCTCTTAAAAAGCTCGCGGTGAGATTTCATCGCACTGCCCAGGGTTGGATATTTATCTTCATTTCCTAGCTTCAAAGAGCAAAACTATGAAGAATGTGAGCACCTGGCTCTATTTCTGGCTGAAATTCTTTGAAGAAATCATAATAGTTTCTTTATGACATTCTGATATAATAGATCCTCTGTAAACATCAACAATCAGACACTGACAAACTTTTGTAGACATGTGTTCTCCCCGCCTTGAAAAAGTAGCTACTTTCTCTTTTAATGTAATGTGGGTTTTTTTTGACGATTTCATACAAGTATTGTATTTCCATCATTTCCACTCCTCCAGTTCTCCCTCCAAACTCTCCCATGTATCCCCGCTCTCTATTTCCTCTTTATTATTATTATTACATATATGTGCATATGTTTACACACACACACACACAGAGTCCATTTTGTGGTGCTCATATGTGCATGCATTTAGGGCTGACCACTTGTATGCTAGTCCCTAGAGAAAACTGATTCTCCTTCCATTGATTGTCTGAGGTGAGAGCCTGTGAAATCCCCCCATTCCACACTGGCGTGTCAACTGGCTTTATCATTATCAGATCTTGCTAGACTTCCACACTGCGGAGAGGCCACTGGCATGCCTAGAATGCCCTAACTGGCAGCAGGTGTCATGCTCTTCTGGCTAATGCTTCTTTCTCTAGCTAACACTTTATTTCTGCGGCTAATGCTTTAATGCTAGGCTGACATTTATAGAAAAATGTTCAATTAAAAAGTAACCCTTTTTTTGTTTTTCAATTTTCATTTTAGGGCAGTAACATAGCTCCCTTTATGGCATCCTCAAATCGGGTCTTCATAAAATTTCATGCTGAGTATTCAGTGCCTGGATCTTCATTCCAGTTAACATGGGACAGCTAAGTAAGGAGAGCTGTGTGCTTCCTGTGCACTGTTCACTCTGCCACATGGCCATCGGGCACCACCCTGCCCAGAACTCAACCTGCCCCATCGCGGGGTCGGCTGCTTGCACCACCCTGCCTAGAACTCGACCTGCCTCATCCTGGCTGCTGCCCGCACCACTCAGAGCATGAGCTAAATATCCGTGGTTTTCATCGGAGACAGCATGGAACGAATTTTGCACGTTTGGTGTTTTGAGCATGGAGTGTTACTTCTTTAATCTCTGCTCTGCACACCATTCTTACTGTGAATATTTTTAAATAAAAACTTAAAAAAAGGTTTTTTTTTTAAGGTGGAAATGATTATGGCATATTTGATGTAAATTAAAAAATAATTATATAATACATGTATTGTTTTCACTATGAAAGTCAAATTGGGATAATAAACACCGAATTATATATAGTTGTACTGTTAATTTTTGACTTGTTGTAACTTGATGGTTCCTAGTGGCTTGACAAAGAAAAGTTTACTGTGAGCTCTGAAACTTTCTCCCCATTGGCTTTCCAACTTTTGTCTTCCAGCCATATGGAGTCTTTCCACCATTCAGGCCCAGGACTGTGCTCTCCAGCTGTTGAATCTCTGCACGTGCTCCACTCGCGTATTTCTGGCCGCACAATCCCAGAATGTTCCCTTTAGCTTTCCGTGCGTTGCTGCTGCTCAATATTTGTTGGAGTCACCTTCCGTATACTAAGGATGCTTCTTCTCCCCTCGTATTTCTACTGTAACAAAAGATTTATTGTGGCTCCCCATCTCTGAGGGTTTCTGTTCATCACAGTGAGGAAGGTGTGGAGGAGTGCTCCAGCTGCCAGAGCGCTTGGCAGAATGCCTCGGGTCAGCAGACCAGGAAGCAGAGCACTTGCAGTTAGGAACCAGAGTTAGTAAGTCCTCAAAGACTCACCCCTAGTGACCTATTTCCTCCAGCTAAATGTTCTACAGCCTCCCTAAACAGCGTTATCATCTGGGGACCAAGTTTTCAAACCCAGGAGCTTGTGGGGGATTTGTCAGACTCAAATCACAACACAAGGTTTTCAGAAAAAAATAAGCTCTAGTCTCCATCCTAAGGCAATTGTTTACCTCTTTAAACTTTTCTCACATCTCTTTACCAATGCATATCCAAAATGTTATGCTCTACATGTTACAGGGACTGTGTGAGAAAAGCCTGGCAGCTTCTAGATTCTCAAATCTATTTCTAAATCATGTGGTATATCAGTTCTTAGAGTACATGGATTTTATTTAACAACTTCCACTTTTCATGTATTTGCCTTGTTTCTAAACTACTCATGTAAGAGATGACAAATCGTGAATATTTGCTTTTAGAAGTCTGTATTTTTGACCCTTTCTCTCCTCCTAGCTTGGGCACTGGCCCATTTCTTCTCTTGACACCCTAGACCTCTGGACTGCCCTCTTGGCCCAGACTCCCCACTGCTTCCTGATCCTCTGCACCCAAGCCAACCCAATTCCTCAGTCTGCTCCCCCGGAGTCCTCGGGGCCTGTCCCCTCCCCCACCTTGCCTTTGCACACCTGAGACCAGCCTTCATCCCTGGCTGTCCTACCCCAACTTGAATTTCTGAGACAGGCCTCCTTCCCTGACTACCCAAATGTCCTGAATCCTACCTCTACCTAGCAATCCTCCCAAATTGTACTGTGCCTGCTGACTACAGGGATCCAGACCTTAGAAGAAAGCCTGAGAGCATCTGATCCTCATCTTCCTTGGGCCTCTGTGGGAACTCCTGAGCAACAGGACTAAAGCCACCTGGTCCCCCAATATAAAATCAGAAGAGAGAACCCAAAGCCTAGACCAACCAGCTTTTCATGCCCAACAAGTAAACCACAAAGGCACATAAAGTTTACAAACAGAAACAGACCTAAACTCAACAAAGGAAGGCTTGAGTCTCACACAAGAATCAGAAACTACGAAAGAAGTTCACATGTCAAAGTCACAGTGAAAAAATAACATGAAAAACCTGAATAATACATACTCACCAAGTACCAACAGTCCTATAGAGGAGTACAATGAGAATCCCCTAGAGATAACACAGGACATGGAACTCAAAAGAGCAATTATAAGTATGATAGAATTCAATGAATTTAAAGAACACACAGAGAAATCAAAGAACTGAAAGAAGATAGCGATAAACTTCTGAATGAACTCAGAAAAGAGAAATATTGAAGAATACGCAGGCTGAAAAGAAGAAGGAAGTGAAACACTCAGTAAGCCAATTAGAAATGACAGGAGAAAGCCTCACCAATAGGATGAATGAAATGGATATCAAAACTGGAAGATAAAGTGGACGAATTAGATCACTCAAGCAAAGATTATGAAACATTTAAGAAAACACAAGAATGGAATATGCAGGAATTGTGTGACATCATAAAAAGACCAAACTTAAGCATCATAGGCCTAGCGGAGGGAGAAGACTTGGGATAATAGTATGGACCAGATCCTTCAACAGGACTGTAGAAGAAAATTTCCCAAAATTAAAGAAAATTCCCATACAAATACAAGAAGCACATAGAACACCAAATAGACAGGACCAGAAAAGAAACTCCAAGGCACATCACAGTAAAAACACTGAAAGCTGCAAAAATACTGAAAGCTACAAAAGAAAAACAACAAGTCATATATAAAGGAAAACTAGAGCTGACTTTTCAGTGCAAACTATGAGCCTGGACCAAAGTATTCCCAGTGTTAAATGACCACAGATGCCAACCCAGATTACTTTACCCAGCCAAAATGTCTATTATAATCAAAGGGGAAAGAAAAGTCTTCCATGACATAAATAGGTTGAAAGAATTCATGTCTACAAAAACATCCCTGCAAAGAGTTCTTGAAGCAATGCACAGAGCTGAAGAAAGGAACAACCATATCCAAGGGGTAACACAAAGAAACTTAATGGAAATGCTCAGTTATACCAAAACTGTGAACAGAAATCAAAATGACAGGAATCAGTACTCATCTTTCATTAATAACTTTGTCAATAGACTGAACTCCCAAGTCAAAAGACACAGACTAGTTGAATGGATTAAGAAACAAAACCCATCTTTTTGTTGTCTGCAAGAAACCAATCTCACTTTCAAGGACAGGCACTATCTTAGGTGAAAGGATGGAAAGAAATACACCAAGCAAATGGTACTAAGAAAAAAGCAGGAATTGTAATTCTAATATCTGACAAAATAGACTTCAAACTAGAACTAATCAGAAGAGATAAAGAGGGCCACTTCATTCTGATCAAAGGAACAATTGACCAAGAAGATATTACAATCATGAACATATATTCACCAAACTCTGGTGCACCCAACTTCATAAAAACAATACTACAGGACTTTAAGACCCAGATTAATCCCAAGTCATGAATAGTAGGAGACTTCAACACCCCATTGTCGAGAGAGAGAGAGAGAGAGAGAGAGAGAGAGAGAGAGAGAGAGATCTGAATTAAATAACACCATACATCAAATGGACCTAACAGACATCTACTGAATATTCCACCCAAGCACCAAAGAATATACTTTCTATTCAGCATCCCATGGAACTTTCTCCAAAATCGACCACATCCTGGGGCACAAAAAAAGCCTCAACAAATACAAAAAGATTGAAATAATTCCATGCCTATCAGACCACAATGCAATAAAGCTTAAAATCAACCCTTGAAGAAACCCGAGTAACTACATGAACACATGGAGATTAAACAACACACTCCTGAGTGACGAGTGGGTCAAAGGAGAAATTAAGAAAGAAATAAAAGTATTCCTGAAACTAAATGAAAAAGGAGTACTTTAAAAACATATACGCTACTAAATTTGAAAACCTAAAAGAAATGGACGGGTATCTAAAGGCATGGGAACCACCAAAACTAAACCAAGAAGAGATCAACAGCTTAAACAGACCCATAATACATAAAGAAATTGAAACAGTAATACAAAACCTCCTGACTAAAAAAAGCCCATGACCAGATGGATTTATAGCAGAATTCTACCAGACATTTAAAGAAGATCTATATGCAATACTCGAAAAGATAGAAATGGAGGGAGAACTTCCAAATTCCCTTAATGGAGCCAGCATCACTCTAATCCTCAAACCAGGTAAAGATACAACCAAAAAAGAAAACTACAAACCCATAGCCTTAATGAACATAGATGAAAAATTCTCAACAGTATACTTGCAAACTGCATACAGACACACATCAAAAAAGATCATCCACCATGAGCAAGTCGGCTTTATTCCAGAGATGCAGGGCTGGTTCAATATATGTAAGTCAATAAACATCATAAATCATATAAATGGGCTCAAAGACAAGAACCACATGGTCATCTCAATAGATACAGAGAAGGCCTTTGACAAAATTCAACATGCATTTATGTTCAAAGTCCTAGAGGGAATTGGACTGGAGAGAACATACTTCAGCATAATTAAAGCTATATAAAACAAACCCGCAGGCAGCATCATTCTAAATGGAGAAAAACTGGAAGCATTCCCATTAAAATCAGGAACCAGACAAGGATGTCCACTATCTCCACTCCTTTTAAACATAGTGCTTGAAACTCCTGTAAGAGCAATAAGACAAGAGAATAAGACAGGGTCTCCCTGTAGTCCCAGCTGGCCTGGAACTGGCTATGCAGACCAGGCTGGCCTTGATCTCACAGAGGAGTAATAATTGGAAAAGGAGTAATAATTGGAAAAGAAGAGATCAAGTTATCCTTTTTTGCAGATGGTATAACTAAGAGGCACCAAAATTTCCATCAGAAAACTCCTAGAAATGATGAACACTTTCAGTAAAATGGCAAGTTACAAAATTAAGCTACTAAAGCCTGTAGCCTATCTATATACCAATAACAAGCAATCAGAGAAAGAATACATGGAAACACTCCCTTTCACAATAGCCTCAAAAAAATATATCTCAGAATAAGCCTGACCAAAGACATTAAAGATCTTTACAATGAAAATTTAAATCTTTAAAGAAAGGGACTGAGGGGCTAGAGAGCTGACAGAGCCATTAAAACTTGGGCTCACAACCATAAAGAGATTGAGAAAGACACCAGAAGATGGAAGGACCTCCCATGCTCATGGACTGGGAGAATTAATATTGTGAAAATGACCATCCCACCAAAAGTCAGTTATAGATTCAATGTAACACCAATCAAAATCTCCCTGACAGTCTTCACAGAATTGGAAAAAAACATACTAAGATTCATGTGGAAGCACCAAAGACCTCGGATAGCCAAAGCAACCCTGAGCACTAAGAGCAATGCCAGGAGGATTACTATGCCAGATTTTAAGCTGTATTACAGAGCTATAGTCATAAAAACAACATGGTACTGGCACAAAAATAGACCCATAGATCAATGGAA